CCCCAAAACCCCAAAACCCCAAAACCCCGCAAAGGATTAAACTGTAAATATTACAAAATTTAAAATCAAGTAAAAATTGAAATCAAAATTAATCAGCGATGGAAATTAAGGACATTATTACAACTCTAATTGACATTTCAAAAAAAGGTGCTGAGTTGAATGATAATATTGCTTAATTGAATATGACTATGCTATCCTTATAAAGTGCCTATCAAGATTTATTTGAAGCTGAAGATTATGTAAATCAGGACTAACTCCGAGTATTGAAGAGTTTGCTTGAGGAAGCTACTGTAATTCTGTAAAAGGCATCTAAGACTTCATTTTTGCAAACTTTGAGGAATATGCTGCCTGGTTCAACTTTGGAATAGATTCGAGAGATTGATAATAAAATTCAAAGAACAGTTCAGATGATTCAATTTTAATTACAAGCTAAGCAATGCCAGAGAAAAAAGACTTAATACTCAGAGTCGTCTGACAATAATGATAAAGAAAACAAAGGCGGTGCACGTGGTTTAAAGAAAAGAAAATACAATGAAGTTGAAGCAAAAAATGATATGCAAGATGTAATGTTTGATCCAACTCTCAAGATGAGGGATGAAGCATAAGATGGTGATCAAAATGAGAACAACTAAAAAGAAGCTTTTCATCTGAGATTAATAAGTTCTGAAAGAGATGTGAGAAAAGCGGCTTAAAAGATGAATATTCAATACTTGAGAGCCTATTGGGACAACCCAGAGATCACAGTAACTCGTCTAATGTTTGCTGAGTTTCCGATTGAAGTAATAAGGTTTATAAGTAAATAGCATTTCATTGTCTGAGGGCAGAGAACATAAATCTAGAAGAAAGTCCTGGTTAACTAATATTAAGATTAGGACGTGATGATGGGGCCTACTCTTGATATGAACTAAATGCTATTTAACTAACCAAGGAATGATTCTAGAGATAAAATAAGAAGGGGAAAGATGAAATTGTCTTCCTCCAATAATTCATCAAGCAATATTAGTAAGTCTAAGAATCTTAAAAACCCAAGTATCAAGATAAATGGAGAAAAAGTTATAGAATCTGACATAGAAATAAAAAGATTTAACAATTTATCTATAGTTGGCAAATAAATCAAAAATCAAAATCATTCATCCAATGAGCAGTATAATGAAAGATAATACCTAAGTGTTAATCAGCCAAAGCGGGGTAGTGGGGATTCATTTAAAAAACACTAAAAAAGCAGTAAGGGAAGTAGTATAAATGATAATAGTTCGGGAAATGAGCTAGATAATTCTGAGTCACAAGAGATATTCTACACTTGTCCTGAAATAGAGGATAGCAATATGCAGCATTCTTCAAGAAATAATTAACAATCAAAGGAATAAAGGGATAAGCAATAGGAAATAATAGTTACTGAATTTGTGTACAAATATGACATTGAGGACTTATCTTCGAATGGTACTTATCTAAATGGCGATAGAATGGAAAAGGGTAAAAGAATAGATATTGGACCTGGCGATGAGATTGGAATGGTAGTAATAAAAGATTCTTAGAATGAAGCAAGCAGTAATAATGAGTTAAAATTAGGATTTAGATTTTGGGGAGACCAATGACAAGCTTTGATACAAAGTTATAGTTTAATATTTTTCAGTTTGTAATTTAGTATTCTTTAAGGTAAATAATAATTTGATTAAAAGAACAGAATAGATTAATAATATTAAACCATAATGAAGAAAATATCCTAATTGATAACTATATTGTCATTTATAGGTATTGCGTCATCTGCAGACTCACCTACTGTCAGTGGCCGTCCATTCAGAAAGGAGAGAATTGCAAGATTATAAAGCAAAGATAAGGAAGCTGGCGAGGCAATTCTTGTGCACATTGTGCCTCATTCTTATAACACAGAGTTTATGAATACTGTTAATGAGTACTTCCCCGGGCGAAAAGAAGACTTGATGCAAATTCATTTTAATAAAGTCTTTGATGCTGTTATCTCTTCAATGCTAAAGGAACCACACAGAACATTTACTCATTATGAAGTCAAATACTTCTCAAATTGGTACAAAAACCAATCAGAGGAGGTAAAGAGGAACGTAAAGCTACTAGTTCAATTGGGAACTCTAGAATTTGTAAACGGAGGATGGGAAACCCATGATAATGTATGTCCACACTACTCAGATATGTTACTTAATCTTCACAGAGGGCATTAGTTCCTAGTTTCAGAATTCGGAGTCCATCCTAGAGTTGCCTGGAACCTTGATCCTTATGGTCACTCAGATGCTAATGCTAGATTGCTAGCTGAGAGTGGCATTGAAGCTCTCTATTTCAAGAGTGTTGATCCCTAGGATAGAGAAAACAGACTAGCATCAAAGACAATGGAAACTCTTTGGAGACCAAGTTTCTGGCATTTAGGAAGAAAAGCTGAAATCTTTACACATGTTATGTATGACTTCGAAATCTCACCTTTTGATTTAATTATTGATGGTCATAAGAAAGTTGAACCGACTACTGAGCCATCCTAATAGCCTACTCAAATTTAATAGCAAAATGCAACTAATAGTGAAAGTACAGATAACAATTAGCAACCTCAGCCTTAACCATAGCCTGATCCAGAGCCAGAACCTACTGAAGGAGAGTAGACTGAAGCTCCAACTTAAAGAAGAGTTAGAAAGCACAAATTAGGATTAGAAGGCTAGTCTCTAGATACCAAGGGGTTGAGAGAATATGCTAAGGAAGTTTCTAGATTTTATAGAACCAAGCATGTACTTATGTTTATTGGAGCTAAATTGAATTTCGAGGATGGTGATATCTACTTTGACCAGTTAGATGATCTCATCACTGAATTCAATAAAAACAATGATTAAGTTCAATTAACTCACTCAACCCTGAGTTTCTATGATGAGACTATTCAAGCTCATGATTTCGAGTTCCCAGTTAATTATTACGATTTACTCCCACTTACTGATAACGGCATTAGATATTTTACAGGCCTCTACACAACCAGACCAAATCTCAAAGCTATCATTAGAAGAGCTTCACAAGAATTACATGCCTCAAACAAGCTATTTGCTTTGAGAATGATTGATAGTGGACTCCATAATGACACTTCCTATTAAAATTACTTAAATCACTCTATCAATCTTCAAGAGAAAGTAGCTGAAGCTTAAAAGACTGAAGCTATCGGAGGTGTTAGTAAAGATGAGAGAGTCATAGATATTATTGATAAATTGTAGGATGCTCTTGATGAGAACAATAAACTAACTACCAGGATTATTGCTGATACTGCTTACAAGATTGCTGGAATTTAGATCAAATAAAATCAAATTTGGAATTGGTGCGTCAAAGCTGGAGCTAGCTTCTTTGATTGCCCAATCGGAAGACATCAGAAAAATGACAGTCTTAATATGGTTGTAGCAGTTTTCAATCCAAGCACTAAGAGATTAAACCACACAAAGATTGCAGTGCCCCATGGAAACTTGACAGTTAAAGTCTTCAATGAGACTTCAGCCAACTTTGAGCCTACTAATGCCACTGTCCTTTGTGACTTGCTAAATAATGGCAAAAACGACTGCTGGTTGTATGCTAAACACTAGGTGGATGCCATGCAATTTGGATTCATCCAGATTACTTATAATGCTAAAGGCAATCTCACTGCATAGAAATAATATGACTAGAACTTTAAAATTGAGAACAAATACCAATTCCTACAGTTCAAAGGAAAGGATGAGTAGTATGGTGCGCTCTTCATGTTGTAAAAGAAGCTCTATCTTCAGAATTATCACTTTGGTTTCGACTTGAGATATTACCCAGCTTACCAAGGATTCGATGGTTCAAGAAGTGGAGCTACCATCTTCAGACCTGCTGGAAATCATTCACTCAGATATAGTAATCTGTCTTATCATTACTATCAAATTGGATCTGTTGTTTCACAAGTTACTCTTGAGTATTTTGATAACAAAACCAAAGAATCAGCAACTGTCAAAGTTCAAATCTACCCAGATGATATGATGATTGAATGGGATGTAGTTCTTGATGAGATTCCAAGAACTGAGGTAGGCAAAGAAGTTACCATCAACTTCCATGCAACAGAAATCACAAACTCATAAACTTTCTTCACAGATGTGAATGGACTCTAGATGATCGAAAGGCATTTGAACTACAGATCACAATGGATGTATTAGGCTTCATCTCACTAGAACATTTCAGTCAATTATTATCCAATCGCTAGTGCTATTGCTGTTAGAGATCTTGCCTATGGATCTACTTAAATGACTATCATGACATCAAGAACTCAAGGTGGTTCTGTCATTGTAAACTCAAGAATTGAACTCATGCACAACAGAAGACTATACTATGATGACAAGCAATCAAAAGGCATCATTATTGGTGATGAGGGAAGTCCTGTTCAATCTACCTACTACATCTAATTCTTTGACAGAAACTATGAAGGATGTGAGCAAAGGAAAAAACAGCTTCATATTGATGCTCCACCTCAATATTACTTCGCTTTTGACTACGAAATGAAGAGTAAGGATATTAAGCAGTTCTCCCAGCCACTTCTAAACTCAACCGAGCTAAGTGAGACTGGCCTACCAGAAACATCCAAAGTTGAGCTCTTCCCCTTGGACAAGAGCAAAATCCTTCTCAGAATTGAAAACTTAGATGATTAATTCTCGCATAAATTCGCTATTAAACAAAAGAACTATCCATTTGTTAATGTCGAAAAGATTGCTCTTAAGCTATTAGAAAAGGTTACAGGAAGACTACCTAATTCCTACTCATTATAAATTGAGGAAATGAATCTTAGCGGTAACGAAGATTTAAAGCAAATGAACTGGGAGAAGGTTAAGTGGTAAGGAACTGACGATGATTATGTAGATACTAGCTATCTTCCAATAGATTGGAATCAAACCTATGTAAGTCTAGAGGCTTAAAGAATAAGAACATTCGTTTTGGATTATACTTACAAAGCTCCACCTCCAACTACAACGACGACTACTACCAAGACTACCACCACAACTACAAAAACTACTACAACAACTACTAAACCTACTACAACAACTACTAAACCTACTACAACAACCACAAAGCCAACAACAACCACTACTAAAGTTACAGCAACACAGAAAACAAAATAGAGACCACCTCTTCAAGTAAAAGAACCTACTTTAACTGCTGCCCCAGCCAAGATTGATATCATTGAATGAAATTCAATAAGTCAAATGCATATTATTCATAAATAATCCTTCAACTTAAACTCAATATTATCCTAAATAGCCTCAGGGGTTTTGGGGTTTTGGGGTTTTGGGG